AAGCTATCAGTTAGCCTAACATAATATTTATTTAACACATATTTGCCTAACATAAAAATTTTGTAGCATATATGTATAAAAATGTTGATGCTCCAAACAGAAACTTGTTTTCTACACATGCGTAGTTAGCTTTTTCATTAAATATGATAAAATAATATAGCACACATTTATGTAAGTTCATGTACATAATTTATATACAAAAGACAAAGGATAGCGTGATTGTATTAGTGATCGTATTAGTTATCATCTCTACGTTATCGACATTTTTTAAGGCTTCTGGCTAGTCACTGCGGCCATATTGGTTGATGACGTCAGAAGCGAGAAATTGCACACGAAGTTTGCGCCCGAATCATTGCAAAGTAAAAAAATATATTAAAGTGACACTTGCAATCGGTCCTACACACTCGTAAAATGCTCAGGATAGTGTTCATTTCCCGAAATAACCTTTACAACATTGCTAAATATACGTGTGAAAATCGGCTTATTTTGATAGGAGATCAGCTGTGAGACTCTGTGGGGAATATGATAAAATAAATACTATTATAGTTAAAATATAAAAAGCACAGTATCCGGAGTATCTTGACACTTCCGCAATTGTGTTATGTGATATAGCACTACAGTCAGTAATAACGCCGTGATTCGGACCGAAAAATTTAGGCTATTATTGCACATACACATATACATACATAATTCGCTTTATACATACGATGAACGAAGTTCTTATTCTCACTGATGGCTGTGTCGCCACCGTCAACGCAGATTTCTCACCTGACTAGCCAGGAGTCTTAAGTTTAGTCATCGACTTCAGCATCCTCATAAGTACTTTTAATCATAAGTCTTTTTATTCCAAATGTTAATTGTTTTTATTGTGAAGTTATTTTAATTTATTATCTACTCTAGGTGTATAAATCTCAAAGATTCCGCGCGGGAAAAGGTAAAATGCGTAATCGCCGACGTATTTAACGACATTGATCACTGATTGTTTATGTAAAAGACAAAGTAAGCAATTTTTTTGCAAAGTAGAATTATTGTGAATGTAAGTATAACAATCTCGTTTCTAGGGAATATGGAAAGCATTCCACAACATTCCTGATGTCAATCTCATGAATGTTAACAAAATGAGTATTTTGAAATTGGCACCTTGCCGTGGTCATGTTGGGCGTTTCATGATCTAGACAAAATCTTCGAATAATTGGACGCTCTTTGTGGTGCTTAACGAAAAGAGGCGCAACTTGAAAAGGGATACAATTTACCATTCCCCAAAATGGCGAATACAGATTTGTCCCGTCTACTGAAATCAGAAGAAATTCGTAAAGTTTTGAGGGCTCCTAGGTAGGGATGGGCATCGATAAACAACATTAATATTTGACATCAAATAGTAACATCGACATATACTATTGATGTCCAGTTAATATCAGTTACAAAACATCGATGTTTTTTTAATATCGAAGATTTTTAAGGTTCAATAAGAGCCAAAAGTCGAGTTTAGCTTAACGGTATTTTCTATTGTATCTACGCTTTCCCATATTTTGAAGAAATCAAATTTTTTCAATTTTGGAGAATCATATTTGCTCATCAAATGTTTTTTACAGTTTTGCTTGTTGTATTTCAAGTGTCGCAAGTGTACAATCTGTAGTATAGCACGTGTGAATCTGTATTAACCGACCAATTAACTCAACGCACAGTGAGCTAGGAGACCAGTAAAACTGGCCAAAATTAATATTTTTTAAAACATGTGAACATATGTAACACCGTTACGCTTGTGTAAGGTTCTCGGCATCGCTCATTCCATTTCGAATGTCAAAATTTTGAAATTCAAAATGGCGGATTCATATGGCGGATCAAAATACAAAAAGTGGCTTGGTTTGGATGAAACTCAGTACTTATGGGTTTTTGGGATCGCAGATTATAAATCTGAATTCAAAATTTTGAAATTCAAAATGACGGATTCAATATGGAGACAAATATCTATTAATTATGTCCAATTTGATATGAAACTTGATATTTGAAGATTTTCGATGTGACTGATAACGAATTTAACACTAATAATTTTAAATTCAAAATGACGGATTCAATACAGTGACCATAAAATAAAAACATGGAGTTTCGTAATTGAAACGCCTGCAGTTTGCCTACATTTTACATTAAACTTTCGTGTAAAAAATATTAGAAAAAAGCTTTCAAAACCATATGAAGATTTCAGTATAAAGGGTTTGAGGTCGCTGAATCCGAATCTGATATATTTTTAAAATTCAAGTTGGCGGATGCAATATGGTGGATCGAATGCAAATAGTGACTTCATTTGGATAAAACTCTGTAATTGGAAGTTCTTCAGATGACTGAATACGAATTTAAATTCAAAATTTAGAAATTCAAAGTAGTAGATCCAATATGGCGAAAGAGTCAATCAGTTCGAAAGTTTTAGTTTTGAATACGGATTCGAATGTAGCGACCACGAATATTTATCAGTACCAATTTTCACGACGAGCGGAACACCTTTAGCATTTCTGTCCGCCATTTTGAATCCGACATTTCTAAATCCTGTGTTCAGATTCGAATTCAGTTACCTCGAAAACCTACCAATAGTAACTAACAAACTAAGTTGCATAACGATTAGAGCATTTTTAGCATTTCCATCTGCCATTTTGGATCCGCTATTTGGAATTTCTAAATCCTAAGTTTAGATTCGAACTTAGCGATCTCGGAAACCTCTAGGTACGAAATTTCATGACAATGGGAGCACTTTTTGTCTTTAGCCATTTTCTTAGATCTGCTGACCCATTGTGCACAGGCATGAAACGTGTACGCAGTATCTCGTGAATATTTCCATTTGTGGATGGTGGCAATTGGTGGCAGCTGAATTTATAGAACACATATAGACAAACTCCACGGTATCTCAAATGTAGAAATATGCGGCTCGCGTAACTTCGCGTAACTTTTGTTGCAAAAATTGCGGTAAATATTCAGAAATGTATGCGTATAATGTTCCGCCATTTTGTCTGTTTTCTATTTTTGCACTCTGCACATTATTATAATGATTTATCTAAGTATAACGATGGATCAGAAGCAGTTGCAGATTCTTTATTTGCTGTAATACAAAACTAATAAAATATTGAAAACGTTAAATCACTGGTACAATGTATAATATTTAAAGTTTAACTTGTTGCCAAATAAAAACCAGTTGATCAAATTCAATAAAATTTGAAAAATAGCTAACTTAATGTATGTAGATAACGATAAGACTTTTAGGAGAACTCATCTCCGGAATCGACTTTTGGCCATTTTTTGAGGTCTGCTGGCCTACTGTGCAACGGTCAAATTGCATTGTTCAGTTGCTAAACTGATCCTTGTAAATAGTCGATTCCGTTGAGTTATTCGGTCGGTTAGGTTAACTTACATTAGTGAAACCGGGCCTGTTTCTAAGGACTTGTATCTACGATATTAGAAATCGGTGCGAGTTTTAGATCCGAGAAAAAAACAACCAATTCATTTGCAGCTTTTATGGAAAGGTGATAGTTTTATTGGTTACACGTTTCTCGGATCGAGATCTCGGACTGATTTTTAGCATCGTGGACATAAGACTTAACAAAAATAGGAACATCGAAGACAACACATCGATAAAATATCGCTGTAACGTAACTTGCAATATCGATGGCAAAACATCGAAATATTAATGAGTTAACATCGATGTTTTCTAAACATCGATGATTTTTGCCCATCCCTACTCCTAGATAATTGCTCAAATGATTATTTTATGTAATGTCATAGTCTCCTTCCTCCTTCCCCCTCTCTCTTTCTCTCATTTACCCACTCACCTAAATATCCAGTAATCATCTTAAATATCCAGTAGTTTCTCTAAATCATGATGATATTAAAAGTCCGTGTTACTGAATAATAGTGATCAGATTTCAACCATGTGGCTGATTTATTATTAACCTTTATTTCAAGGTAGTTACTAGTGATATGTATTGTATTTCAAAGGAAATAATGCATTTGTAGAAAAAAGGTGATACGTAAGTTTAAGAAACTCAATCCGTTGACCAACACTCGGGATATGCTGCGTCTTAACTCATATGCTGCGGTTCTAAAGTGCGCTGCAATCTTAATCGCGCAGAAATGTCAACATGAGAAGGATATCCTTCCGAGAAACGAGGCGTGAGTGTATATTTTTGTTCACTTCACAATTGTGAAATGTGTTGAATTTGAAATCCTAATATTATCCGATTCCGTATTTCAGATTGATTTACTGAAAAGTTCCCCAGCTGTAAAGGCCAAGAAGTTTCAGGAAAGGAAAGGAGAAGAAAACAACTTCTAACTGCCAAAGCAGCTAAACCAAAACATTGAAACAAATAAATTGTATGAATACTGATATTACAGCTCGAATAATTCTATTATTTGACAATTCTGTTAATTTTATCCGTACTATAAATTCTATGGTATAATTTCTTTTATTTTTTATGTCTATAAATATGAATTGCATTTAGCTATATAGAGATTATGCGCAGAAAAGTATAAAATGTATAGTCGTCAACGTATCTGCAACATGGACGTAAGAATACATGGATAGAGCGAATAATCGCGGAGATCAAGCCCAAGGGGTGAGGGGAATGACTGTATGTATTGTAATACATTTTAGTAGTTGATATATCAAAATGGTGACAGTAGCTGTTTTTATACATAATAATAGATACAAAACTGTTGTATCAATATGGCCGCAACCATGTAATCCTCTTGCCCTTTAGGCTTCACAGCCCTTCGTTTATAATTGCACTTTTCGCTCCGTCCATGATCTGCAACGTGAGCCTCTGATTATGTGCAGATAGGATAAATTAAATAAACGCGACGTTTTTTCAAACTAAGAATTTATACGACTATAAAAACTAAGAACCTGTAGGAAAAGAGGAAGGAGAAAGCCGAAGTAGCTAAGCTGAAGAAGCTTTATTCCTGCAAAGAAAATTGTTCCAACACAAATTAAACCCGAAATAGATACCACGGCTGCAAAGACTGTTGTATCGAAAGTTAGAAAGTGAAAAGGTATTGATGATCTAAGTTGATCCTATAATTTCTACTTAGCACTGTATAAATTTCCAATATTAACATGATACAAAAAATGCATAAAATAATTGGGCAAGATGCCTAGTTGGGGTAAATTCCGATGAATATTTGTACAATATATTTTAACGAACCAATGACGTTATGATAGCTTTTTCGGATTTTTAACCAAACATTAAAATAATTAGTAAAAACAATAAATTAAAACACAAAGTATGAAGCAATTTATAGCAATAATTTTATATCGATGGGAAATTTTACGCTGATTTTCTCGATATTAAAATATTTAAATTATCTTAACAGAAAAGCAAATTATATTTTCCGAATATACTTACCAACTAAATATATTTACTAACATTCGCCAATTAAATGGAACATTACTGTCGAGTTTATTATATCCCAAATGGACATGTTCGAGAAGCGATGTAATGTACAAGAAATATTATGCAGATATTACTAGTACATTATGTATATCTAAAGTTCATTCAGCATGAGTTTAACATATTCGAATAATCATATGTTGAAATGTTATGTGATATTTGGAATGTTATTTGCTTAGTAACATTTAAAAAATGTTTTATCTCATGTTTTTAAAATACTTGGATATTTGGGAGGCAATGTTATTTTATACTGTTATTGTGTTTTTTTTTTAACAATTATAAAATATGCAGAAATATTATTTCGGAAAAATATACACAGAATGAGTGTTTCAAAAAATAAGCATAATGTTTCTTGTTTACTGAGATATTTATAACTTTCACAGTTGCATTTCGTGACTCGGTAATTTGTTTTGTTCAGCATCGTCTTTGGCATTAAATTCTTTCTCGTTATTTTTCTAAAATAAGTAGATTTTTTTAATAATGTAATGGTGAGTGAGAAAAAGAAAGACGTACATATCGCAGCTTTATCTATAGAGATTAACTCACTTCATTTATCGGTTGTGATTTCGCAATATACGTGAGGAAACTTTGGTTGGTTTCTTTCTTATCGATTGTCTGCAAATACTTTGCTCTTGCTTCTAAAACTTCTTCTAGTTGTTTTTTGTGTCTCACCGCTAACTCCAAAGCTCTGTATTTTGGAAAATACAAATAAATATCACGAATTGTTTACTTTATAAAATATAGACAAGAAAACAAAATAATACGAGAAACTATATCTCACGTGAAATTAACAATCTCAAATTTATTATAAAATATACTTAATTAATGCTCCTAAGGATTCTTCATCGCGGAACTTTTGATTGTCAGAAATGAGAAAATATAAGCTCAGAATTCTTGCAAAGAACATATTAAAATAAAAAAGATTCCTCTGAAATAACGCAATCGATGGAACACATTTAAAAAATAATCCGGACACTTACTTTTTACGCTTTAACAATCAATAAATTACCGTAAAATAAACGTGACATACAACTTTTTTAATTTATGTTTACTCATGATTCTATCACATTAAAATGTTATGATAATTTATTAATTGTTAAGCAAAAGGAGAGTGTTTAGACTATTTTATAGATCTGTTTGATTATAAATGTTATTTTATGAATATACTTTTTTATTTACACGTATTTTGCAAGAATTTTAAGTATGTATTTCCTTGCTTCTAACATCATAAGTCCAGATAGTTGTAACGAAGAAACAGGAACATTACATTAAAATAAATTTGTTAATAACAATAAAACTGATAGTTTTACTTCCTGTAATTTTCAACATATGTGTAATTAAAGCCAGTGGCGTAGCCAGGGGGGAGGGGCTGAAAGGGCTGCAGTCCCTTTCGAAATTAATTTTCTGGGTTATGTTAAGCGTGAGAAAAATTTTTTCGAATGACCTGTTTTTTGCTCGTCAAAAATAAAAAGTGCAGCCTCCCCCAAAACTTTTCTAGCTACGCTACTGATTAGAGCTTTCAATCATCTCTAACGCACCTATTCCAATTATAGATTTCAATGTTAATGCGTATAGCTTCCTTAATTAAACCACTTTGTAACAATATACCTTCCGCAGCCAATAAATCGCCAGCTAACAATGCCATTTCTGCATATTTTTCTGTAGCATTAGGCAAAATCTGCAAATTTCTCATACAAATTTATATGCACACGCACACACGCACACACACACACACACATTGGCTCTTAATTAATTTATATTAATCGATTAAATTCAACGTATAAACGCTCACCTTAATGTATCTAATATAATCAACCTTGTCGAATCTATCAATAGCTGCATAAGCTTCCTCCGCAGCATCCAATTCCTTGTTATCAGTCGCTATAACAGCCATGCAAGTCCATAATATCTCATTCTATTAGAAAATAACGATTTTTCAAAATACAGAACAATTTTGTGCTCGATAAAAAAATCATAGTTTAATCATCAAATGTTACCTGAGCTATACGACACAAGGAGAGCGCTTCCTTCAATCTTTTGTTCAATACGTGTTGATGCAAACTCGTAAATAAGGTATAAAAAGAGGAAGCAATAATAGCACCATCTCCGCGTCTCACTATGACCAGACCGTTACGAACACTTACGATACTAGGTTGTTTTCCAAATTCGCTGTCACAAGAATTTGAATGAATCGTCAAATTGAGGTATTTAAAACACCTCTAAAGGTTATTCTACAATTGTGCAAGTGGTTATAAGTAATTACAACAACCAATCAGAATAAAACAATCAATAAATAAAACACTCGGATTGATTGAATTTTACGTTCACAACTATTCCAGATAGCACACGATATTATAGAGATATCCCATGGACGTTCTTAGGACATTAGAACGTTCTTTAAACGTTTTTAGGATCTCTCCTGAGAGATTTGTGCTATTGAACAATCTTACGTAATTGTGAGTGGTCTTTAAGTTGAATATTTGCGAACAACTAATCATTGTGTGTGAAAATAATGGGTTCCCAAATAGTACAGAGAATTCAAAAGAAATTCAAAATAATTCAGTCGTATGTCACCAATTCTAAGTTCATTTTCAAAAGAATTCTTCAGAGTTCAGTTCAGTGAAAAGAATTCTTTTTCCATCTAAACATAAACTCTCTGAACTCATTGGTGACATACAACTGAATTCTTTATGAATTCTCTATGCTATTTGGGTTTCTGTCCAATTACATTTTAGCAGGAAAAGTAGCCAACAAAATCATATTCCAATAACCTGCGGAAGTAAATGTAGGCAAATTCTGTTCGCCAAAAGGTCTCAGATGAAAAACATATTTTGTCATGGAAAATACTGTGAGCATAATTCCAGTAGATATTCACCAACATTAATCAGTAGCCTACATGATAAAGTGGCGGTGAATAAAAAGTAGATCCGATGAAAGCGAATAAAATTAAAGAATTATGTAGTGTTAAAACGAATAATTAGTACCTGCTTTCCTTGTCTATTCTTGTCCGCCGTATCACTTTACGATCACTGTAATGAACACAATTAGGACACAACCATACAGACAGAGTGGTGTCCAACATTGCAGCCAAGACGTTTGCATCGGTCGCCCATGCGATATTTTGCGCCATTGCAGCTACAATAGATCAGTAAACAATTGCAACATTATTAGCAAGACTCGGAAATTACTATCCTTTGTTGCAGATTCATTCAGAATTTCCACTTATACTATCTCATACATAACACATATTTCAGACATACATATCTCACAAGGAAACACCGCGAACCCGAACTCTTTGATTGTGATATACTTTTGTGAGTATGTAGAGTAAATCAATACAAAAGTTTACTACAAAAGTTTAATGGTAAGTTAATGGTAAGTTAAGTGCTATAAATTGATATAAGCATAAATAAAAAAATATTTTTTACAATAAAATATAAAAAAATTTTTTACAATAAAAAAGATATTTTTTTATTTATGCTTATGTCAATTTATAGCACTTAACTTACTATTAAACTTTTATTCGAAACATTTGTTTCTATCTCCTTTAATCTAATTTAGAGTAATACACGAAAAAGTGGAATCGTCTTTTTTACTTTGTGAGTGTAAATCATACCTAAATAGCGATAGGGCACAAATGGAATATATCGTTATTCATGTATTGATTTATTCTATATACTCACAAAGGTGTATTAAAATCAAAGAGTTCGGGTTCGCAGTATTCCCTTGTCAGACATAACACAAATTACTAAAAGATATATTGAAGACATTCAAAAGACATTCTATTTCTTTTAAATATCTCTTAGACATTTTTAAGATGTTTTTTAGTATTGTGTGCTTGTCTGGGATGAATTGCGCAGAGTTAGTTGACAATTACTTAATTACTTAAGCTGAAAAGTTAATAACTTTTGACTTATTTAATTTTATATAAATTAATTTTTAACTTAAAATAATTATTTTAAAATGTTAACTTTAATTTATTAACCCTTTAAAATATCAATTTTTTAAATTGAATTTATTAATTTTTCTTATATAAGTTAAAATAATTCATCAATATCAAAATTCTTGCGGACTGTTCGTAATGCAGAATATAAAAAATAAAAAATAATGCTCGCTAGATTTTTTCGTTTCTTTAAATCCCAATTTCTCCTCTTTTGTGTTGAATTCTAAACATGAGAGAGAGAGAGAGAGAGAGGAAGATAGATATATATATAGTCTATATTTTCTTATAAAAAAAATAACTTTTTATTACTTAAACTTAATTTATGATTAAAAAATTAATTATGCAAAAAACAGGTACATTACTTTGCATACGTAATTTTTAATAAGTCAATTTAATAAGCTAATTTAATTTTAACTTTACTTTTATTTTTTAACGTAACTTTTGACTTAATTAAATTGATTTTATAAACCATTAATTTTAATTTAATTAAAAAATTTAACTTAGTTAAAAGAATTAACTTACTTCAGTATTATTCGGTATATTTAGCAATAAAATTTCTAAGTTTCATACCTATTTTACACACTCTTCCAAAACCTGTAGTTCTTATCGCAATTAAAAAGAGGTCTTTGTTGATATCTATTAGTGCCAATTGTCGATCGTTTATACCACCGATATGATTTAACGCCACCTGCGTCACGTTTTGTAGATGCGAATGTGTTTGACCTTCTGTTATTGGTTTGTTGTAAGCTACCTCCAAAATATGAAGCACTAAAAAATATTAAAACATAATAAGATAATAATTAAGAGATTAAATAAAAAATAATTAAGAGATTAAAGAATCAAGCATTTGAGGAGATAATGTAAAACAAAACTACAATGATACACTAAATACTCTAAAATGATAAGAAAACGTATTAAACGTGCTTTCCATCATATTCTATATATTTTATCTTACATTTCATGTTATTCTGATCTCTTATGACTAAAGTATCCGAGCACAATGATATGCAGGGAGGATAAAGAGGCTCTTGAGTAAGTCCCTTCCATTTTGGAGTACCCAGTAAACGACCTTGATAACTATACAATAACACAGTATTCCATTCCACAATCAAGAAATGTCTAGAACATTGCACACATATAATTAATATATAATGTGAAATTAATAAACATATGATTTCGTTATTATCATATTCAACTGTTTACTTTTCTGCAAGAAGTACGGCGGAGAGAGTATTACTCTTCAAGTTAAATATCGCTGGAGTGTTCCAATTTGTTACGGAATACACATGACACTGAGCGGGCGTAATGACGACCAAATGACCGAAGCCAAATTCGAGATGCACAACACGATCAGAGATTTCCAGCACTTCGCGAACTTCGTTACCAACTTCTCTGACTTCGATTACCTTTTTTCTTACTAACGTCGCTTCGTAATTATCCCATTCTAATCTTCTATAAACAAACAAAAATTATATTCTTTCAGTAAATATTTTAATTTTCGAAATCAATTCTCTGAAATTGAAATTAAATTTTCTTAGCAAAAATATTGACGTTTATAATTGTCCACGCTTGAATTGGTGTAATAAATCCAATTAACATTCTTCGCTTACTTTCGCTGAAGCTTACTTATCTATCACATGTCCAGTTAATAATTTTCCATTGCTGCACGCCATAGCAACTTGAGTGCTGTCGCTTGACCAAGCTATACTGTATATACTTCCGGTATTCAATTTTTCCATAGAATGCGTCCACTAAAACATAACGATAATGTAGAAATACCAATATATTGATAAGTCGTAAAAGATTAATATAACGAAGAATTTTGTTCTCATACATAAAATTTTTTAGTCCTTATTTGTTAGCATTTAATTAAGAGTACTTATAAAGCAAACAAATAAAATATTCACCCCATTTTTATCGCAAAATTTAACGGTGTTGAAGGATCCAACAGCAAAATAATTACCAGAAGAATAACACCAGCTAATTGCTGTCACAGGATGATCACCGACGCTACTGCTGTACAACTGATTACCGTTAGCGTCCCAAATCTGTCGAAAGTTTGTATAATTTTCATAAAAATTTCAAGCCTTTTTCTCCAGATACTCTAGTAAGTTACTATTTATACTATTTATACTATTTATACTGATATTTATACTGATAAGTATAAGATATAATAAGTAAATACCCACATGCACAAAATGTCACAGTGACATCACATTAACATTACTCTGTAACAATAAACTACGTCACAATGAAGTCACAGAGAAGACATAGTGACGTGCGAATGTCCGTTTTGTCATATGTGTGATATCACTGTGATATCATTATGATATAAAGAAAAATATCACAGTGATGTATTTGTAACAATGACGTATGATACTGGTTAAAAAAAAAATATATTTTGCAGAAACAATTGCAACTAGTCAGCTTATGTTGACTTTAAATATAATTTAGCTGTTTTATTTAATTTCTCACTATTTTCGCATCTGAAGATTTACTCAGTACTGGTCGGACACGAACTCGAGAGATCTCACAACACCTCCAGGTTCCTATTCTACTACCTTGCCTACTGCGCTATTTCTTCAACTCATACTAAGTGTGTTTTATTATCCCCATATGCTGAAGCACTAATTATACTTATAATATTATTTAGTACAACCATAAAAATAAACTATTTATAATTCTAATATTTCATATAATAAAAGAGAAGTTAGAGATACATGCATAAAATATTTATGTAAAATATGTTTACTTAGGTGTTGACATTACAAAATATTACAATTTAAAACATATTTGAAGAAACATTTTTAAAACGTTAAAAATAATGGGATAAGTTCTCTTTTTTTCATTAAAAAGATGTTTTTTTTAATGTTTTTTAATGTTTGAAAAAATGTTTTTATTTTCAATATTTAATAAACGTTTATTTTAACATTTAGAAAATATTTTTTAAATGTAAAATATTAACATTAAAAAAAATATTTTTTAATTGTTAAATGTTAACATTCAGAAAAACGTTTCTTAAATGTTAAAATAAATGTTTATTAAATATTAAAAAACAAAACATTCTTTCAAACGTTAAGAAACATTATTTTAATGAAAAAAAGAGAATTTATCCCATTATTTTTGACGTTTTAAAGATGACTTTTAAAATATTTTTTAAATGTTTTTTTAAATATTGTTTGCTCATTGGGTAACAGAAATAACTAGTAAATAAATAAAAAATATTATATTATATTTGTAATATTTTTTAAATATTGCTGTAATATTGCTAAAGTAGTATTTCAAATTAATGTCTCTGCAACACTGTACTGCAATATGCAATGTTGTAACATTATTCTTACATGAAAATATATCTATAAGAATAGCAAACTTATCTTTTTATTCGAAAAAGGAATTCATCTATAATATGGTAAATTAAAAGTTATCATAACGTCATTTTTGCAAAGTCATTTTGACGTCTTCAAACATGACGTTAAATACATGTCCTTAAAGGAAACATGACGTTACTGACCAATAATGACGACATATTGACGGTAAAATAACGACAGTTTGCTGCCTGAGTGATCTATACCAGTATATACCAAAAGTTATTTTACTTAATAAAATTATCAATAAAAATATTAACTTAATTATTATATTATAGTAGCTGTATATTCCAATATTATAAATAAATCCATATAAATATTAACTATAAATTAACAATAGATATAACAATAGATAGTATAAATATGACATTACTGTGACTTTCTAATAACATCACAGTGACGTCACAATTTTTCTGTGACATTCTGTGACTCTATTGTGAGTTTATTGTGATGTCACTGTGACATTTTGTGCTATGTGGGTTTATAGAATTACATACCTTGTATTTACAGTCTTCGCCACCAGAAACTATAAGTCCATTCATTTGACTCCAGCAAATAACCAGAATAAGACTGTCATGTGCATGCCACTGAAATTAATTTGTTTATAAACGTTACTACTTAAAATTCTTGGCTACTCATATTTTATTTATGACAAGCAGAGCAGTAAAATAATTCGGGCACTTTTCTTTTGTTCCATTAATCAATAAATTGCAATAAAATTAATATGGCAACGCAATCTTTAATCTATATTAACTTACATTTTCTTATTCTATATCTATATTAACTTACATTATCTATATTACCTATATTTTCTTATGATTTTATGACATTAATTTTACCGTTATTTATTAATTGTCAGAATAAAAAGAAAGTGTTTGGATTATTTGCATCTACTACATCCATTCAATCGACTGCAAGTGTTATTTTGTGAACATATCTTTTTATTTCAATTTATTTCGCAGAAATTTTGCGTGTATTTTCTTGCTCTTGAAATCATTACTCAGTCAGAACCATATGATGATTCAAGGTCGATTCGACATCGATGAGGATTAAATTAACATTGATTCAACGGCCATCGATTATTTTGACGTCGAATCAACTTTGAATCAACGTTATGATTCTGACTGGGTAGTCAAGAATTCCGCGACGAGTAGTCAAAACATCGTCTATATACCTCCGAAAAAATTATACATATAGATCCCAAACAGCACAAAATCTCCAGAAGATGTATGAGAGACATTCTCAAAACATAGGGACGTTTCTCAGAATGTCTTTAAGATGTCCTGTGGAGATCTGTGTATATGTGCTGTTTAAGATATTATTTATTCTTAAAAAAATATATAATTCCGCGAGAATTTCAATGGCTTTTCATGTAAGAATAAAGAAAGTTATAATATATACATATCCCAAGGAGCGTCATTGCGCGTATAACGCGCTTTTAATGCATATTCAACTGCATTAGCTTCGAAACCACATTAATTGTATGTTTAAAATGCACTCAAATTAATGCGATATTTACACATTTCGTAATAACAAGTTTTATAAAATGAATGAATAATTTTTTACGTGATACATCATCAAACCACAAATTATTGCTTGCTTGAACGAAAGATCTGTTCTTTTTCGTAAAATTTCCTAAACTGATGTATACTCCTAGTAAAGTCAATTCCTTTAGCAACTCAGGTCATCCTTACCAAAACATCTTTCAACCCTAGCCTTTCTAAAAAGATGCAGAGGCAACAACATCGTCCCAAAGTTCTTACAACTAAAAAACCATCTCGGCCCGAAGAAAGCAAACAGTATTCTGCAGAAAACCGCGGCCTTGCTAGTAAAGGAACCGATCTCATACACAAAAATGAAAGTTAGTAAAATCTCAAAAACTTTTCCAACTTCATCTTTCCTTAGCCTCAACCCTTTGACCAGACTTATGGCTCATACTGGACCACATAACGTACGAACAATCCCAAAACACTTACGTACAGTCATCCCAAAAATACTACAAACTAACCACAAGAAACAGTTACACCTCCTCCACCAAACACAGTAAAAAAACCTATCCAACAAAGCCTTCTCTTCAGAAACCATTTCCGCTCTCCACAAAGGATCAAACTTTGCAATAGCTCCAACTAAAATACCAAAGGAAGAAATAATCAGTCAGATAGAATCCTCCCTATTTCTACTTCCACAAGAACAAGCCAACAATGTAGGTTAACATACTACAGAAATCCAAACTACCAAAACAGAACCTGATCAGACTAGAACGGTACGCTTTAAAACAACTAAACCAAGATACGGACATCATTATCCTTCCTGTAGACAAAGATAACACAACAATAATAATGAACAAAGAAGACTATGACAAGAAAATACAGGAATTCCTCACAGACGATACCTACCAGAAACTGAAGAAAGACCCCACCCAATCCTTAAAAACCCAAACAACAAACCTTATAAAGAACAATATTCTCCCAGAAAAAAAAATCCTAATCCAAAAAAACGCAATATCTCCAAGACTATACGGCTTTTCCAAAATCTACAAAACCAACATATCACTCAGGCCTACAGTGAACGTCATAAACTCCTCAACATATAAACTGGCATGCTTTTTAATTAGTAAACTGGAACCTGTCAGCAAAAATACCCTCTACACGGTCAAAAACTCGGCGGACAGAAGATAAAAGGGATCCAATTTCAACCAAACGACATCCTAGTAAGTTTCGACGTATTATTCTTATTCAGGTCCCAATTCCAGATACCATCAAAATAATCAAGACCTCAAAACAAGGGGTGTATATCAGTTGGACACGGGGCAATTGGACACAGTCCAATCACAAGTCGCTGTTCCAAGGGACCCTACAAATGTCTCTAATCACACGGTGCTGTGATTGGCTGTGTCCAAATGCACCGTGTCCAAGTGCACCGCTCCCCAAAACAAGTCCTTTCCGATCTTATCCCCCTAATTGAACACTGTCTTACCAATATATATTTCAGTTACAATAATCAATTCTATAAACAAATTTTAGGTGCAGCCATGGGATCCTCAATCTAATCATAGCTAACATCTTTATAGCACATTTTGAATCCTAAGTCATCCTTAAGTGCCAGTTGAAACCCTGAATATGGCTCCGATATGTAGATGATATTTTCGTCATCTGGCAACACGGAAAAGAAAAACTCCAGGAATTTCTACATGCGCTCAACACACAACATTTCAACATTACCTTCATAATGAAAGTCGAATAAAACAACAGACTATCTTTTATGGATGTCCTAGTCACAAAAAAAGAACAGATGGCTCCTTGGGTCACTAAGTTTATAAGAAACCTACATACACCAACCGATATCTCCATGCCGAATAACATCATCACCCAGCTCAAAAACAATTCGCTAATACACAGAGTATTAGCTATCTGCGACAAGAACAGCATCCAAAGTGAACTCAAGGATCTCAAGAATACTCTTCAAAATAATGGCTACACGGCAACACAGATAAATAGAATAATCACAGATAAATAAAATAATAGATAAATAATCAGGAAACACCAAACCAAAAGACATCAAAATATATAGACTGAACAACTCCAAGGACAGACGAAAGAACGAAACTTCATCACCACCTTCCTTCCATATATATAGAGAATTACAGAAGTTGGCAGAATCCTGAAAAAACAATATCAAAATCATTTACAAACCACGAACAAAAGGACAGTATCTGAACAACCCAAAAGACAGATGACCTCCACTCCACTAGACACTTCTGGAGTATACAAAGTCCCCTATTCCTGCGGTAAAGTCTATATAGGAGAAACTGGGAGGATAGTGAGCACACGTATAAAGGAACAACAAAGCGCAGTCAAACTGAAAAATGTAACGCAGTCAGCATTAGCGGAACACAATCTAAAAAGCGGACATAAAATCCTGTTCAACGAAATAACAGTACTGGTCAAAACCAACAACTACTTCCCTAGGAAATATGGAGAATTCTTGGGAATTCAAAAGCACTCCAACAATCTCAATAAGGATAATGGACAAAAAATCAATTCTATTTGGTAATCCGTCCTCCCGGTTTTCAAAACATGATAGACAACAAATTTCCCACCACCATCCCCTCTACCAACGCCCCATATTTCTGTCTCCTTCTCCCCTCTTCCCCCTATGCCAACTACTATACAGGGTGTCCCATAACTGGTAGAACACCCGTTAGGGGTAGATAGGGGATGCAATTTAGAACTGAAAGTTCCTCTTCCATTTTTTGATCCGACAATTAGTTAACGAGATATTAATTAATTACGTCTGCCAATCCTTTAGAGCCCTGAGTGAGCGCTCAGGGATGTAGGACGCCGTGGGCTCCTCAAGGGCCCTGCTTGTCCATTTTTCTCCCCTTTTTGTACACACATACTAAAATCATTCACGATACTCAACTATCGACATGCAGAAAACATTCAAGTCACCCATGCACTCGAAGGAAACATACTACACATGACCTCCCCCTCCGGCACATAAAGTGAAATCACTCGGCCCACTCGCATTAAAAACATCCAAACTATCCATGCACTCATAACCGCACACAAAAACACCCATACATCACTCCCACAGATTGAAAACTTGCTATCCCCTAGCCTCGGTCAGACAGCCATTCACAAACCTACTCGCTCACTCATCCATATTTATTTCTCTGTGATACAAAAAAGGGGAGAAAAATGGGCAAGTAGGGCCCTAAGGAGTCCACGGCGCCCTACGGCTCTGAGCGCTCACACGGGGCGCTAAGGGATTGGCAGATTTAATTAATTAATATCTTATTAACTAATTGTCGGGCCCAAAAATGGAAGAGAAACTTTCAGTTCCAAATTTCACCCCCTACCTATCCTTAACGAGTGTTCTACCAGTTGTGGGACACCCTGTATAAAGGAAGACCTCTCAGAAGCAACTCGACATCAGGTCGTTCTTCCCTAATGAAGCGGACTAAAATGTTCGCGAAATGTTGGAATCAAACAAAGAAAAATCCATGCGGCTCAAACCTGGAAACTAAATCTAATATGATGTATACTCGTACAAAATAGTTAAAGTTTTTTCTTTTTAGTGAAGTGGCTGTATTAGTTTAAAAAATGTATGTACACTGGAACATAAGAATGGATGCTTTTTATTGAAAAACCCCAGTTGAAAACTTAATTGGGATTTCTACTGGATATTTCGCTTAGGTTTCCTAGGTGGATTTCCTAAGTGGGATTCCCAGATGAGTTTTCCAGATGAGATTCCTCACGTCAATGAAATGTCGATGTCACGAAATGCCATATCTGTAATTCAACAATATTTGTCATTGATTTAATAAAAAAATAATGTTAGAAGAACAACTCATCTAGCACAGACGCTTGCAGCAACATTACTGCAACGTTTCAATATTGTATATAGCAATGCAATGTTGCAGAAACATTGCAAAGACATAAATTCGCAAAATACTAGCAAACAAGATATGCGAAAAATATTTTTTAAATGCGCTGCCATAATGTGCATTAAATGCGAATTTAATGCGCTGCCATAATGTACATTAAACGCAAATTTAATGCGGGACAAATATACGCTGTAAATG